GGGAACCCCAAGCAGGCTCCACACAGTCATAGTGTGGAGCCCAATGTGGGGCTCAAACTCACTAACCATGAGATCTTGACCTGAGCTAAAATCAAGAGTCAGAAGCTTAGCTGACTGAGCCACCCTGGCACCCCTCAGCAGGTGGCTTTAATAACATAAGAGACACAGCTGAAAAGAGATTTAGTGAACTGGAAGACAGACTAAAAGATAATATCCATAATGAATATCAGAGAGACAAAACAATATGGGAGATATATAGATTGCAGTGAAAAGAACTAATATGGGGCCCCTGGGTGGCTATCAGTTAAGTATTTGACTCTCGATTTCGGGTCAGGTCATGATCTCATGGTTTGTGAGCTTGAGCCCTGCATTGGGTTCCATGTGCACTCTTTCTCTCTTTCAAAATACATAAACAATTAAAAAAAGAACTAATATAAATGTGATTGGAGAAAAAAGAGTGAGAAAGTATGTGTCACTATTATTTAAAGAGTAAGAGAAGATCTTCTGCGTCATCTACTCCTTCAAATGATCTTGGGAGGCCTGGAAGTCACATCCTGTTTACAGAGGAGGTGCCTAATAAGGTAAGGGGCCTAAGACTCATGGAATTGTTAGACATTAACTTAGTGCTATAACCTCAAGGCCCTGGTCAGCCACAGAGAAGCAGCTCTCATAAGGGCAAGTTGCTCTGGTACCATTTGTGTCATGAAAATCATCTTTGATTTAATCTTTGAAGTGTAATTAGAGCCAATGCTTACTGAGCGCTATGTACCACTATGCTAAGCCCCTTACTAAAACAGGTGGTCTCCCCAGTCATCACAAAAATTATGTGAAGGTACTATCATTACCAACTACACTTTACCATGGAGGAGAATGAGGCATAGAGAAGTGACCAGCCCATAGTCCTCCAGTTAAAAGGGGGAAGGGTCAGAATATGAAGCCAGACAGTCCTCTCAATTCTCAGTAATAACAAGATAGTTGAGGCACATGAAAACAATACCAAAACCAACACATTTAAAAAATATATATCCTGTTATTTTAAAAATATATCTTATCCCTCCCCCAAGACTTCCCAACAAGAAATGAAAATGTTATGCCTATGCTACTTTATTTTTTACACAACTGAATATTCTGGAGAATACAGAGCAAGAGAATTATCTTTAAGTATTGTTCACAGAAAGAAATTTGACATTTGTTCAAAATAATTGCTCGATTTCCTTATCTGATCCAGTTTGTCTTTGCCACTGAATTCTGCAAAAGAAGAGAAAAATGTACCACTTGGAACAAATCATTATCAGAATCAAGACGAGACCGGCGGGTATGTTATTATACAACATATTTTAAAATTATGCCTCATTGGACAAGTCATAAATGCCCCAAAACGGTACTTATTTATCTTTGCTGTATCTAATTAGGCCACTCGGTCTGTGTGAGTGCTATGGCCTCTGTGAACATCTTCCCCCACCTTCACCCGGAGAGCTCTGTTTCCCAGCATCTGGACAGCTTTCTCAGGCACCTAGGCCTGCCCAGGCTTTAGCTGCTGCCAGCAGGTCAGGATCAGGCTCTAGGAAGGAAACTGTGACACTCTGAAGGACAGCCACCTGATGCCCCTGGGACCACACAAGAGACAGAGGAGGCCCAGAGCTGCCCTCGTACATGGATTTCACTTCCACAGGCTTGGAGGCCAACGAATCTCCCCAGATTTAAACTGGGTCTCAGAACACGGCTGAATGGACAGAGTAGCCTTGCCTGGCTGTACTCAGAGATGTGCCCACTATAAGGTACCCCCCCTCCCCTGCCAAGCCTTCCAGGGTGGCTTTTCCCTCATCAGAAGAGTCAGGTGAGAAGTCCTGGGGATCAGCTGGGCCGTGTGGGGTTCTCACTCCCTCACAGCTACTGCTGGAGCCAACACACCTGCAAAGAGCTGGCAGGCAGCAAAGCCTGCATTGTGTGCTTGGGACAGCCTATCAGGCTGCAGTGGAGGTCTCTGCAGTGTGGAGAGCAGGGAAGGGAGGGAGGTGGGGGGCCCTCAGAGCTTCCATGTGGCCCGCCTCTTCTTGAACTACCACCGCTCTGGCTGCCTCTCACTCCCCTTCAGTCAGACACAACATTTGCTAGGAGGAGAAGACTGCAATGGGGCTGACCTTGGACTATCCTACTGGGTGTTGGCTTCAGTGTTTCTTCCATTCCTTGGCTGGAAAAAAAAAATGGAGCAGCTTACAGATACTGAGACAAAACTGCCTAGAACCTGTTTCTGGGCTTCAGATCCTTCCTCAACTGGGCCTTATGGCCTTATTCTCCTAACTGGGATGTCAGCAGCCCCCTTGGGAGTTCACCTGGTAATCCCTAGCCCAGGGCTGGTAGTAGGTCACCTGTGGCAGTGCTCCAGGACCCTTGCTGATCCTACAGCCCACTGTCCCCGCCCCACCATTCCACCACCCCCAGCCTCTATTTATGTGGTGGGATGGTCTTCAAACCATTTATCACAGGACTTCTCACCCTAAAGACATCATAGAGACCCACTGTTTCTCAAAGCACTTTCTGGAGAATAACCACTAATAGGTCATGCAGGCAGCATGGAGGTGGAAGAACTTCCTTGATCAAACAAATTGGGAACTACAGGTTGTTTCCTGAAGGACACGCCTGTGTACACTGTAAACCTTTGAGAGTGTTGGGTGCCGTGTTTTCCAATCTTATCCGATCTTTGCAGAGTTACCTCTTGGCGAACCTCTTAGTGACCCACAGAAGGCAGTTTGAGGGCCATGGGTCTAGTCTGATTCATAGTCTGATTTTTTTGATGAAAACAATTGAGGATCTAAGGGATGAAGCATAGCTAGCCAGTGGAGGATCACAAACACAGTTTCTGACTCTGTGACCTTTGCAAGAGGTTCGGAGATCCCAGGGCAGGAGGAGAGGATGGAGATTATACTACTTCCAGTGCATTTGGGGGCCATGTATCCTGACCTTCGTGCTCAGGGCCACAGACTCCAATTCTGGTTGCCCCCATGTCTGTCCATCAGCAGTACTCTCGCCTCCCACCCACGGTCCCAGAGCCCTGGTTTCTCAGACTGGGTCCTTCTGGACTCTTTCCTTTATAAACATCAAGCATCTAGGAGGAGACTTTGAGAGTTACCCCTAAGTAAAGGATGAGATAGTCCCCATAATTATTCACCAGCTTGCTGGGCTATGCTTATTCTGCAGGAACTCATAATTGGGTGACAGGGGGGAACTGGGGTTAAAAACAGAGAAAAAGAAATGTGTTATACCCTGAAAAGGAAAAATGGTCGTCCCAAGGTGGCAGTGTGATCCTGCAACATAAAAACACAAACCATTATGTAACCACTTTGTGCCAAAGGTCTTCTGAAGATGTCTATGACAGCAGTTTTCAAAGTGTGGTCCCCAGACCAGAAGCATCAACAACACCTGAGAATTCTTTAGAAATGTCTATTCTCAGGTCCCTACTGAATTTTAACAAAGTCCCAAGGTATCTACGATTCATGGTCAACCTTGAGAAGCGCTGGTTTGTGCCATCTGCAATACCTCTCCCCCAGTTTATACAACTGGTATGTGAGCCCCTGAGCCACATAAAGCAAATCCTCAGGAACAGATGGCTCTAGGTGACTCATCTGCAAGAATGGAGATGAAATATAAACAGCCAGAAGCATTGCCCCATGATTCCTATCTGCCTCAGGACAAGCTCAGGAAAACCTGAAATTAAATGCTCAGCCTCAGAGATGATTTTCAGGGGCATACTGTGAGACCAGTTCTTTCAGAAGAGATCTGAAGGGGCTATAAGACTGCCTAGCTCCAAGCACTTCCTGTCCTTCCCTTGTAGGTCTTTGGGAGTTTTGTTCTCCATGGGGGCTTACCTACCTTCTTGGTGAAATCTCCTGCATCAGTCCTCGAATCCTGTGAAGGAGGGAGGCACAGGTTACTTTAACAGGAACCACATCTCCCAGGCTTGCTGTTGTTCTGCTGTGACCCTGCACCTCCCTGGCTCCATCCTCACTAATCTTTAGGTAGCCAGAAATCAGGTGCAAAAAAGCAGTTCAGGGGAAGGGCTAACCATGGGTAGCCAATTGTAACTTCCTGTTCAGGAAGGCAAGCATGTTTTCTTGAGGTAACATTTGTGTCCAGGACACAATGTTAAGTTGGCTTGCTCTTCCCAATAGCCTCAACTTGAAACTGACCCTCGGTTTGGGCAAATTTTCAAGGTTAAGCCATGGCAGCTTCGTCAGCTGTCTCTACTTGTGGGTCTGGCATAACAAGGATCAGGCTCAGTCTGGAAGGCTGCAGTCAGCAGTGGATCAAACAAGACAAACTGTTGCCTGTGCATAAGATGACAAACCAATTTTCCAGGATCTGAGCAGCTTCCTGGGGATCTTGGGATTTTCAAAGCTAATACCAGGAAGGTCCTGGGCAAACTGGGATGAGTTTCAGCATTCAAAAGAAATGTTCTCGGGGAACCTGGCTGGCTCAGTCTGGCCAGTATGCGACCCTTGATGTCGGATCTCTGAGTTTGAGCCCCACCTTAGGGGTAGAGATTGCTTAAAAAAATATATTTTTAAAAAAGAAATTTTCTTTCTTTCTTTTCTTTTTTTTGCAGGGGGGGCTGCCATGCAACAAAATCTTGATTAGCATTTTGAACAATTATAGCTATTACTGAAACTGGTAATTTCTAAATTATAAAACACGATTTTTAAAGAAACAAAATTCTGAGATACGGATAAAAGGGCAGGTGGGGGCAACAATGGAAAGCAAGGGGATCACCAAGGCAAACTGTTCCCGTCAAGAGAAGAGGAAAGGTCAGGGAAAGTAAAAACAACATGGAAACTAAAAGGAAACATAGGGATGGCGAGAGCAGAAGAGAACTTTGCACTAGCCCCCCACCGACCCACCCCTGGGGGGCTCTGCAGCCACTGGGTCTGGTTCCAGGGTTGGGGACTGAGGCACAAGGTGGGCCAGCTCTCCTTCCCAAGGTGGAGGCTTAGATTCAAAGACAGCATGCAAGGGCGTGCCTCCCCACCCCCACTCCCCCAGCGACCACATGCATCTGCCATGGTTAAGTGAACTTTGGGTGGCCTAAAAGAGAAAGACACCTACGCGCTGCTGCTGAAATCTTTTCATCTTTCGGTTGGCGAGCTGCGTGGCCAGGCGCATTAACGGGCGCACCGGCGGAAACTGCAACAGAGGGCGCAGGGAGGGTGGGACACGGCCCTCTCCATTGCCCGCCTTACAGATAGTTTAATTTCCAGAATAAAGTCCATGTCAGAGCCTAAGCTTAAATTTTATGTTTTCAATAAAGAACTGCTTGCCTTTATAGCAGTCCACAATTCCAACACATCACTTACAAATATTCCCTGAGGGTAAATCAGACTTTTATCTGCCTTAATGCCAAGCGTTCTGCCCTAGTATGGCGTGCAGTGTCCCAAAGAAGCAACCCAGTGCCAATCTCTTTTCGCTCCAGGTGTGCGCTCCTAGTCTACGGAAGGAGGCAGAAGGGCAGCGTCCATAAGCCTCTCCCTAATGCCTTTGATTTTCCTGCACTTCTTGTCTGTGACCTTCCAGCACACACTCAGACATACATACCCGTGTCTTATATCTAGTTGTTGGGAATCCTCCCTGAACACTTTGGCTCAGAGTCAAGGTTCATTTGTCTCACAGAGTTTTCTTCTTCCAGTGTCCTTTCTCCCTTTGCAGTGCTCATGGCCCTTCCTGAGAATATCCCCATCCTCACTTATCCTCATTCCTAACCTATACTACAGCTGAGTCTTCGCCTCTTGGGGAAACAACACTTTGCTGTTTTGTTTGTTGTTGTTTTTTAAGGGTGTTCTTGAAGACTTGGAAAGCCTTGACTATATAAATAAGTGACTTTCTAATGGTAGAATTTCAGTTACTATGACAGAGCACCTGAATTAAGAATTTTATTCTATGACCTTCCTAATATTCCTCAAATCATACCCTGCAGAAATTCACTTACACAGCCTGCTTTTCAGGGTAACTCAAGTTTATAATAACAAAGTTAGAGGTAGTGCATGTTATTCCCATAGCACATACACATGGTGATGGTTATAGAAAGTGCAGCTCCATGGATCACTACTGGGGATATGGCACTTTACACTTCTCAAAGCATTTTTTTTAATTAAAAACAATAAGGCAGTATGATAAATGCAAATAGAGGTTAAGTATTTATGGGGCCTTTTAAAAACATGTATTGTAAGTGCATAATAAAAAGTTATTCCTCACTTATTTTTCCTTTTTGGTAATATATTCTCTAACTTTTCTGATGTGTCAGCCTCACATCACTTCCAGCCCAGACAGGGAGAGAGATAATATGCCGGAAGCCCCACGAAAAAGCTCTTTGAGAGCTATTATACAGACAGCGTCTGTAAGCCCCCTGCTTTTCTACTTATCTGCACATATTAGGTAGGGATAAAAGGCAAGCAGAGGAGAGTGACCTTTATAGAAAGAGGAGTATGGTAAAATACTGACCCCACTTTTAACTGGATGTGTTGGCTCCTGAGTTCTGGAGTAGTGAAATTAAAAAAAAAAAAAAAAAAAAACTGAATAAGACAGGTTTTAGTCCTATTTTAGTAAGTTGATTTTAGTACGAGTTGATTTTAGTACAAGTGTCACTTGCTATAAATGTGAAAGTTACATGCCTGTGTTGCCAGGCTGGGCAGTACTCACCCTTTTGTATATGTCTTGATTATCCTAGAAACAGAATTGTGAGGGTAAGTTACATGGCATTTTACTGGGGCAGGCAATTGACAAGGTTTTCAGTATAAGTTACACCAGGGACCTTATTGAATTTATCTGAATATTACAAAATAAATTGGCAATCTAAAAGGAAATCAATTAGACAAACTCAGTAAGACTAGAGTTGATGCAGGGCCTACAAAAAAGCAAGTTGTGGGGCGCCTGGGTGGCGCAGTCGGTTAAGCGTCCGACTTCAGCCAGGTCACGATCTCGCGGTCCGTGAGTTCGAGCCCCGCGTCGGGCTCTGGGCTGATGGCTCAGAGCCTGGAGCCTGTTTCCGATTCTGTGTCTCCCTCTCTCTCTGCCCCTCCCCCGTTCATGCTCTGTCTCTCTCTGTCCCAAAAATAAATAAACGTTGAAAAAAAAAAATTTAAAAAAAAAAAAAAAACAGGTTGTCAGCAATACATCATTATTTTAAAACTAAATCTTATTTCACCTTTCTTTGGGAGAAAAACATGGTCTGTAGTACACACAAGCAATCCCCTAATCATGTGCCAGATAACCATCGAAGATTGAAATAAAATTAATGATTGCAATTTTTAATTTGTTGCTGGGTGTACCCTGGAATTCAGCTTTTTTAGGGTTGGTTCAAATCAACCAAACTCTTCCTCACCCCCACCTCCCCAAATGCTTTCTACATGAACTTCCAATCTCTTGGCAGAAAGCCCAACTTTTCATTTCTAAGTCCTTGTTAGAGCACCACCTTGCCCTTGTTGGCGTGGATGACAGACAGGGATGGTTGCACAGGCAGCACACGCTACTCCAGGATACTGCTGTGAAGAAGACATCTTACAAAACAATAAATCAGGTTTCCATGCCCGCATTTTGTAAAATTGATTGAGAGGATTACTGTCAATGATATTGCAAATATGCTGATCTGGATAATATTGATCATTCACATTTCAATCACACTGAAATCTTCTTGAATCAACTCAAACTTCAATCCAGACAGAAATGAAAGTTGTTAACAATACTTCTAACTTGTTGCTGTTGATAAAATTACATCTTTCTGCAAACTGTGGAGAGTTTCTACATGGGAAGCAGCTGATACTTATGTATTCTACACACACACACACACACACACACACACACACACCTGTCATGTATGTGTGAGTGTATGTGTGTTTTCTGGACACTTATTGGGCAAACAATCGTTTTTTTGTGCCATATTCATCAGCTTTATACTGTTATGTTTCAGGCCAAAAAATAACAAGGAACATGAAGATGCTTTTCCAGGTGCTAGAACTCCACTCTCAACATTTCATATGCACCTTCCTTGTTTTAATTTTGTCTTTTTACATAAAAAAAATTTCAAAATGTACTTACCTAATTTATGATTTTTTTCCTTAACTAGAACTTAAGTTTTTCTTTAAATTTTTTTTTTAACGTTTATTTATTTTTGAGACAGAGAGAGACAGAGCATGAATGGGGGAGGGGCAGAGAGAGAGGGAGACACAGAATCGGAAGCAGGCTCCAGGCTCTGAGCCATCAGCCCAGAGCCCAACGCGGGGCTTGAACTCACAGACCGTGAGATCGTGACCTGAGCTGAAGTCGGACGCTTAACCGACTGAGCCACCCAGGTGTCCCTAGAACTTAAGTTTCATGAGAGCAGGTAGTTTTGTTTATTTTGGCCACTACTGCACCTTTAGCACCTAACATATGGCATGCTTCCAATGAATGTATTTTTCTGAATGGATGGACGGTAGAGCTGTGTTCATAAGAATGTATTGCCACCCTCCCATCTAATCTTCTGATCCCACCAGAAACACAAAACAGGAAGACTTTCCACAGGTGTCATTATTTGTAGAACATAACTCTGCTTTCTGAATTGCTTAAAGATAGAAATCCCCTAGAGACACACACCTGGCTTTTTTGGAGAGCAGGACTGGAAGTGGACTTAGAGCCCAGGTAGCTCATCCAGACATGGGATAGTTGAGGGAACCAGAGCCCCAGGAAAGGAAGTGACATGCCACAGGTCATATTTTAATGCAGGAGCAAGACCAGGAAGAGCCACAATCTCTCTATCCATAGATTTAAAAATATTGATAGTTCTGTTCACTGAACAAGCCCTTGCTCTTCTACAACTGGTGATGACGAACAGGATTGGCTTTGGGAAGATGGAGAAAGTGGAAGGAAATTCATTCCATGTGGCACCTTGCACTTGGGGAAACCTATAACCCAATTTAATACTGTAACTAGCACATGTGACTGCCACACTTCCACTTTTTCTGCTTATGTAGGGGACATCCTTGCAGTCTTCATTTGATGGGTAGGGAAGCCCATTTGGTGTGAAGTGAACAGGCAGTGGCAAGGAGATGGAAAACTGAGTTTTCACCCTAAATTTTTGCTCTGGATATCAAGGCTATAAGATTAGTTTTGAAGATAAGAGAGGACAGTTGTCTTCAAACATATGCATAAGATAAACTGAAAATAAGAAGAAATAGGCATGATATACTTATGAAGTGTAAGCGAGAAAGTGATGTTTGAATCTTGAAGGATGGCCATTAGTGGCATCAGAGATAATGGTAACAGCTGGCACTGAAGTGCTGTCATTTACTGTGTTACTGTTGTAAACACTTCACAAATATTAAAGCCCTCAATCTTCACAATAACATGAGGTTTATTCCCATATTACAGATGGGAAAACTGAGACACAGAGAGATTAACAAACTTGCCAAAGTTAAGTAGATCTGGGTGTTAAACCCAGGTACTTTGGTTTTAGAGTCTGAGCTGCGAATACAGCCTGCAAAGGCATTTTGGCTAAGGAAAAGCCTGTGCAAACAAACATATAAAGGCCTGGTGCACTTGGGGAATAGTGAGCAGCTCAATGTGGCCAGGATATGGTATGCTGTGGCTTGGGGGAAGTGAGGAAGAAAAGATGTGCCTCAAGGTGAAAATATTCAGTGTATGCTAAGAGTCATGGACTCCACCCTAACACCACCCTCTTGTACTTTCCACTGAATCAAAAGTGGTTCTGTCGTGGTTCCTATCGCCGTTAGGTTCTTTACATGAGATCTATTTACTTTGTATCCACTGAAACATTACTGTTGTGGTTCCTATCACTGTTAGGTCATTTACATGACATGATTGTTTTGAAGAACTATTATATCATAGTATATCAATTTGTAACATATACCATGATATGTCACAATATACATAATATAATTATATATGTATGTATTATAATAATTATAAGAATATACATGAACTACCAATATTTTATGGTATTTTATATATGACAGATTCACTTGTTATTTCCTAAAACTACATTCTTACACATGTATTTAGACATACACACAGATTTCTCCTGTAGGTACCAAAAAACTGTGCTTCTTACAGATATCAATTATGATATAAACATGTGAATTGTTATAACTTAAAGAATAATTATATGCATATAACTGTTTTACCTTAGTTTGCCAAGAAAGAGTTGCCCCATATGCCAGCCACTAAAGAAAAATATGAAAAATGAATCAAAGATAAGTCTAAATTCAAATCAAAGATAAGTCTAAATTCCTTAGTCAATAGAAATCTATTACAGCACATATAAAACTCTAAAACTGTCCCATTTATGAACCTTGCATTACCTTCTCGCACAGTGGCAGTGAATTTCAACACAACTCTCAGGATGCCTTAAATGAGGCTATGAAAATGGCAATATGAGTTCCTGCTGCAGCCAAGAATCTGATCTTAAAATAGTTTTAAGTGAACATTATCCACATGATATTTTCAAGGCCAAGATGAAATAAAAATCGCACATTACTGAATAGCAGCATACCTCAAGCTGCATGATATCCAAGTCATCTGGAGGATCAGCTAGAGGTCGAGGAAATCCTATTATGAGAAATCACAAAAATATTAATTAGAGAAAAAAGTTCATAGCATTAACTTTTAAATCTTTATGTTGAAAAACATAGAGATTCTAGAAATACAATATTTTAAAAAGGATTTACAAAGAAAACACATTTCTACCTACAACAGTAAATGTGAGATTTGTACTAAAATTAATTAAACACAATTCCTTTTTTAATTTACCAGGAGTTACCAACATAAGAGTTAGTAACTCAAGAGGGAAAAACTTAATTTGTATTTTTATGGAATTTATGGAGATAGCATATTAGGAGATGGTGTCAAGAAAGTGTGTGCATCAGAGTCAGTCTAGGGACTTTTAAGAAGTACAGATACTTGTTCTTCTGCTTCATCAGACTTTTCAGGGGTAGGTCTGGGCAAGGGTGTTACCAGCACACAGCTGCACCCTATGCCAGTCAGCCTTTACCGGGCCTAAATGAAGTCTCCATCTCATTTGTACACGATGCAATACTTGGGGGAATAGCTAATACAGAAATTGGAGGAATCAGTTGGAGAGGTGAAATTAATGGGATAAATGTAAAACCCTGAACTTAGATTTTTTTTAAATGTGGGACAGGGAATATTTAGTTCAAGAGTATATACATAATAACTCAGGCTAATGGTTACAAGTTACACGTGATCAGATTTCAGTTTAGTGTAAAGAAATTTTTGATGGTTGGAGCCATTCAAAAATGCAAAGTAATTTGAACTAATCCTATAAGGATTTATTAACAGGTTCTGTGTTAACAGTACAAATGATAAAGACCATAGGAACCTTATCCTCGGGAAACAAAAAAACTTAAATAGGAAAAAGGGGGAGGTGGATATAAATATATAGATAGATAAAAAAAAGGTAATAACAAATTCCCCAAAGTGTAATATAAACAAGATTCTACTGGACCCAAGAAGAGGCAGTTACTGGCTCTCTTAGGCTGGTAGTGAGTTGGGTGTCACTGAAAGTAATCAAACAGGGAAATCATAGATCCCTGCTTGCCATGAAAGGTTAAATTAGATGACCTCCAAGGTTCCTTGCAATGTCTAGGCTTTGTGATTATACTGTAAGACACAGCAAAACAAACATACTGTTTGAAATATATTTTCTGTTTGAATATATTTTCAAAACTTTTCTACACCCCTAAATCAAAATTCTAATGGAAAAGTCTGAAATTTTGAAATAGTCCACATTTCCAATTGGAGCTGCCACCACATGCATCCCTGTATCATTTGGTGAATTACCTTGAAATTGGTAATGCATTCCGACTACTGATCCCATATCCCACCCTTGGTTCCCTGTAAAGGTACTGGTTTCTCAGAAGCTGGTGAAGCAATAGCCTTGTCCAGTCAGATCTTCGGACAGCGCCCAAGCCCACTAAGACTTGGGGCCTCCGCAGCTCTGTCTGGGATCCTGCCTCCAGGGAGCCCACAGAAAGGCCAGGAAAATATTCCTTCTTCCTGTTTGCGTTCCTTTCCCGCCCCTCTCCAACTGTCCCTCAATCCCCAGTCCTCATGTCTGTAAACTCAATTTTACTGTATTCTCTCTTCAGAATTCCAGGAACACAGATGGCTAAGACATCGGGGTCTCCAACTCATATCCCTCACAGTTTTAGCAGCTCATCTTTGGGACAGCCCTAAGTCAGGAGCTGTTTAACGACAGTTCCACAAGGGAGTCATGTCCTTTGGTAAAAGGCTGCAGCATCTAGTTTTGTCTACCCTCTCTTAAAGGTTAGGGACAAATGGGAAGCCATTTCAAAAGGGTGGAAATGGAGGTAGGTGAGGGGATTATGTTGGACTCCTTCCAGGACCCAGGATCTGAAGGATGAAGGGTTAGAGCTCAGCCCAGCTGGGGGTCTGATGAAGGGATCTCCTTACCTGAGGAGGGAATCTGTAGCATGCAGAAGCAATAGATGGCCAAGATGGAAACGAATTGAGGAGGAAGTTGTTTCATTTTCAAAGCCAGGTTCCTCTTTGCTGGCCACAGATGTGTGCTGCCCAGATAGGAGCTGAGCATTTCCTGAAGTTCCAAAGGCAGAGGCAATACTCTGCCCTGCATCTGATAGGTCCCAGTGGAGAAGGTGCCTTTGTTTGCAACGCCCGGGAGCCCGTTGGCTGAGAACCAATCAATTTTGCACAGGAGGACCCTGGCTTTCTCATAAATGTCACGCTGGGCCCTTATTTGTGGAATAATTCTTCCTGGGGTAAGCATTGTAGAGAATCATCTTTTTCAATCCAGCAATAAAAATAAAAAGTGGAGAGTCATAATTGTTATTCTATAGTGGTTTGAGAAACATTTCTGACTCTAGAAAGGCGTTTTCTCTTTTTTTAATCAAAGAACTGGATATAAATCTATACACTCTTGTGTGACGAAGTCTTATTTCCTAAGAAGCTGTTTATTTTCCACCATTAACAAAGATGTTTTATAGTCTTTGGTGCATCTGAGAACAAAATTTGGAGTCCTGGATATAATATTACAAGAAACTCAAAAGTTCAAGTAGATATTTTAAAAAGCATAGTTAGAAATTAGACTCCTTAAGGTTTGTCCAGACTCCTTTCTATGAATAAGTTAAATATTTCAAATAAAACCAGCATATAAGAAAACATAAGTGTTTAATTACAATAATAATAACAACAATAATAACATGTCATCTACTGAGCTTCTATTTAGGATTTCACTTAGGTTATTTTATGTAGTTCTCACAGAAGATCCGTAAGGAGTGTATGATTATCCTAATTTTATGAATGGGAAAATTGAGGCTGAGAGAGAATAAGGAACTTGCCAAGGTTACCAAACCATAATGAATGCAGAGCAGGGATTTGGACTCAAGGATATCTGAATCCAGTCATGTCTGTAAAAGTGTGGGATTTTAGTCAATGTGTTCACTTTTTTCTAAAAAGACCTTCCTGGATAGGGAATATATTCAATCTGCAGATTGCTTTGCCTAGTATAGGCATCTTATAATAGGGTATTATGCTAAGTGATATAAGACGAAGACAAATACCATATGATTTCACTTACATGTGAAATCTTTAAAAATAAAACAAACAACCACCACAAAACCTAGAAACAGACAGACTTATAAATACAGAAAACAAACTGGTAGTTGCCAGAAAGGAAGAGGGTAAAAGAGTGGGAGAAATAGGGGAAGGGAATTAAGAGGTACAAACCTCCAGTTACAATATAAGTAAGTCATAGGATGAAAAGTATAGCAGAAGGAATATAATGAATAATATTATACTAATGTCATATGGTGACAAATGGTACTGTGGGGAACACTGTGTAAGGTATAGAGTTGTCAAGTCACTACGTTGTACACCTGAAATTAATATAATATTGTGTGTTAACTATATTTCAATAATAAAAAAAATTTATTGATCTATGCACAAACATACAGCCTCTTTGAGATTGGATATGGAATAGAAAGGAGAAAGAATGAAGTCTGCAGTCTTGCAAACAGCACAACCTGTATAAGGCATATATCACATAAATATCTTTTTTTCATTATGCATATCTTTAATTTTTTCTCTTTTAAGGATTAGGAGGCAACTAACAATTGTTGAATGTTTACAATGTATTTAAAACATGTTAATACTTTACCTAAGTCATATCATTTTTTTCAGTTAATGAAAGTTTTAAGAATAATTTTGTGTGGGAGTCACTCAGAATAAACACATAAACTGTTTAATTATGACTTAAAATGTGGTATTTTGCCAAAAAATTCTAATTCATAAGAGAGTGGGAATTATAAACTACTGTATAGCAATAATATTTTGCCTACTTCCTTAAGCCAGCAAGAAAATAGAGATTTCTATTTATTACAGTATTTACCACTTTAGTTCAAGGAGAATAAACTAAGGTCTTCAAACACCAGGAAGAGATGATATCTTTGTATTGAAATACACCCACTTCCCAACTGCAAGTCTTTACTAGGAACGAACAGGAAAAAAATGAATGATTGCTTTTTGAACATAAACCACTTATCTATATGATATTAAAACACAATTACTTATGGACATTTTAGACACAACACACACATACTAGCAAAGGTTTGTGGCAGTCCTACTATCAATCAATAAGTATTGTTTAAATATTTGGTCTATCTCTACCATGAACTAAGTGATCTATGCACAAACATACATTTTTCAAATAAACCTATGTGATAACTCTGGTTTATATCAAATTAATTTTATTTTGTACATTTTTCACACATTATTTCTCAGATATTTAGAATAAAAAATAGAAATATTTTTTAACTCATTATTTTTAAAAAGATTTTATTTCTAAGTAATCTCTACACCCAACATGGGGCTGGAACTCAAAACCCTGAGATCAAGAGTCACATGCTTCACCAACTGAGCCAGCCAGGTGCCCCTAAAAACATTATTTTTAATGCTAATTCAGAAATTGGATTATGCTGATATCCCAGAAATGGAATATGTTGAAGCCCTGATCCCCAGTGAGGCTATATTTGGAGATCGGACCTTTAAGGAGATAATTAAGGCCAAATGAAGCATAAAGATAGGGCTCTAATCTGATAGGACTGGTATCTTTATTTTTTATTCAAAAAAAAATTTTTTTTTTAATCTTTTATTTTTGAGAGAGAGAGAGATACAGAGTGCGAGTAGGGGAGGGGGAGCCTCCAGGCTCTGAGCTGTCAGCACAGAGCCCAACGTGGGGCTCAAACTCACGAACTGCGAGATCATGACCCAAGCCAAAGTCGAATGTTTAACTGACTGAGCCACCCAGGCACCCCAGGACTGGTGTCTTTATAAGAGGAGGGAGACACCAGAATCCTTTCTCTGAGAGCACACAAAGAAAGGGCTAGGAGAAGACACAGTGAGAAGGGACTGTCTGCAACCTGAGGAGTGAGGTCTCATCCGAAACATTTTGCTAGCACTTCATCCTGGACTTCCAGACTCCAAACTGTGAGAAAATAAATTTCTGGTGTTTAAGCTACCCAGACTGTAGTCTTCAGAATGGTAGCCTGAGCAGACTAATACAAACACATGGGGGAGTGGGAGGGTTAGTCAGTTCAGGAGCCCTCCAAAAGTAAAATAATGAAATGAAAAGTGTAATGAAAGTTAGAAACTCTCAGTTTCAAATGATACGATTATCTACCCAGAAAATCCAAAAGAAGCAACTGGCAAATTAGTAGAATGAATGAGTTTACCAAAATGGCCTAATTAACAAAACAAAACAAAACAAAACAAAACTATTTTCAGGAATAATTTTCTTGAACATAAACAAAAATAAATTTTAAAATGTATTAGGTGGGGCGCCAGAGTGGCTCAGTTGGTTAAGTGTCCTATTCTTGATCTCCACTCAGGTCATGATCTCGTGGTTTGTGAGTTCCAGCTCTGCATTGGGCTCCGTACTTACAGTGTGCAGACTGCTTGAGATTCTCCCTCTCTCTCTGCCCCTCCCACGTGCACTCACTCACACGTGCTCTCTGTCTCTCTAAATAAACTTAAAAAAATAAAAACACATTTAAAAATTTATTAGGAAATGTAAATAGCCTTAAAAACTATGCAATTCTGAGGACTAAGCCAAAAAATAAGTATGCAATATAATAAAAAAGAAAAATACAAAACTTTACTGAAGGACGTAAGGAAATATGTGAATAAAGAAAAGACATATCATGATCGTTGAGGACAAGAGTCAATGTTGTTAAAAGTTCAACTGATGGCAAATTAATCTATAAAGTTAGTGTAATCCTTATTAAAATTCCAAAACTCCTTTTTCATGGAATTTTAAAACTGACTCTCAAATCATTTCCAGAGAGAAAATATTCAAACTATACTTTGCCAAAAAGATACTCTGCCAATGTCAAAATGTACTATAAAGCCGTAGTAATTGTTATATTGTTGTAGTCATTTTGTTATTGATCTGGTAACAGACAATAAAAAATAGATAAATGGACTGGAACAGAGTCTTGAAGCAGATCATTTAAATACAGAGTAAAAGTGGTTATTTCAAATCAGTGCAAAATGACGAACTATGCTAAATGGTGTTTAGAACAACTGGCCATCCACGTGGCACCTGGTGGAGCATGTGATTCTTGATCTCAGGGTTGTAAGTTCGGGCTCTACATTGTATGCAAAGATTACTTAAAAATAAAATCTTTAAAAAAAACAATTAGCAATCTAGTTGGCAAAAAAAAAAATCCCTATTTCACACTATAAATTTAAATAAATTTCAGAGGATTAATGAATTAAGCCTAATATACCCATAAATACACAGGGGCGCTTATATAAAATTCTGTATTAGAAAGAAATAGAGTATATATTTGATTGGAATACTGTTCTTGAGCAAAATTTAGAATAGAGAAGCCATTAAGGAAAAGATTGATAAATTTTATTATATTTTAAAAATATCTATATGAAAAAGATAACCAATATTATCAAAGAAAAGACAGAGTGGGGGTAACTATACAACAACTATACAGATATAATACAGAAAAAGAAAGGGGAGGGAGAGAAAGGAGGCAGGCAGGCACAACTTAAATGTCTAACATAGAGAAAATATTAAACTGTAGAATATCATTTATATGGAAATGTATGCAACTTTTTTTTTTTTAATTTTTTTTTTCAACGTTTATTTATTTTTGGGACAGGGAGAGACAGAGCATGAACGGGGGAGGGGCAGAGAGAGAGGGAGACACAGAATCGGAAACAGGCTCCAGGCTCTGAGCCATCAGCCCAGAGCCTGACGCGGGGCTCGAACTCACGGACCGCGAGATCGTGACCTGGCTGAAGTTGGATGCTTAACCGACTGCGCCACCCAGGCGCCCCTGTATGCAACGCTTAAAAAGAATAAGATGGATCTATCTGTATTGACAAGTCAAACTCTTTGTAACATAGTGAGTAAAGAAAAACAGTTATAGAACTACAATACAACTATCTAGTATCAGTTTTCCTCAACCAATAACAGCCCAGTCTCCAAACTTAGTT